AAAAATGTCTAAGCGAAATTGAATGAATTGGACTGGTTTGGACTTCGAATTAGGGCTTTGAGTGATGCTTTATCTAAGAAACGAAACGGCCGCCGTTCAGAGAAAATCAAGGGTTCCTGTTAACGAAGCTTCTGCAAATTCTGGAAGATGAAGCTTCAATGTGTTTGATTGAAACTAATTCTGGAAGTTGAAGCTTCAGGGTTACTGTTAACAAAGATTCAATGTGTTTGATTGAACCTAATTTTTTTTTTTTTTTTTCACTAATTGAAATCAGGGTTTGAATTGGGTGTGTTTGAGAGCACAGGAACTGATAGAAAAGCCCTCGTCGAGTCACCTTACAAACCAATGTCATCGGAAACTGAAACATCCACTGAGGAATAACGACTACGACTGATGAAGATTCCGGCGACGATGAAGGAGAGACCGACCCAAGCAACCAAATTCGGCAACCCCAAACAACCCAATCGGCAACCCCAAGTAACCCAACCTACCCGTGATTGCAACTCACAACCATAGTCGGCATAAAATGGTGAACACGACCCGCCGTCCCACACCGACAATCCACACATGACGGCCACGTAAACCGCCGGCGAGAAGACTGTTACCCGTGACGCATGACAGCGACCCACAGTCGACGGCGCAGCAACCTCTGGTTCGGCGTCTTCCTTCCCCCGAAACCACCACCGTCCGGCGACCCTCCCGCACTCTCTGGTTCAACCATCGCTGCAGTGCCCCACCGATCTCCCTTAGCCGCCATCGTCTCTGTGCCTAACCGGACGTCTCGGCCGCCGTCTTTTATGCGATTGTTACATATATATGGAGTATATATATATATATATGTGTCTCTGTGTATGTATGGAGTATATATATATGTCTCAGTGTGTGTATATATGGGTATATATATGTCTGTTTGTATATATAGTATAATTTGTAAATTTACAAATTTTTAAGGGGCCATATTGTCTATTAACAATGATATTTTGGAAAAAATTAAATTAAAAAATTGAGGGTGGACCAAAGTCAATGGTCCAATTAAAGTCAAAGGGTAAGAATGTCTTTTTACATGTAAAAAGTGGTCTGACATACCTGTAAACTAACTTTTGGGGTGTGAGTGAAAAACGGAGCAAACGATTGCAATGTGAGTGATAGTTATTTTCGAAAGATATTTTAAACTGATATTTGGCCAAACTACTGGGGGTGTCAGTGAAATTATCCCTACTTTTATTGATGACTGTACCAAGATGACCTGGTTGTGCTTGATGAAGTTCAAAGGTGAAGTGAACTTATAGTTTTAGAAGTTTCATAAAATGGTTGAAACTCAATACAATGCACATGTTCAGGTTCTCCGTAATGACAACGGTGGAGAATATCAAAATTTTGACCTTCAGCAATATTTGGAAGCACATGGAACTATTCATCAAACCACATGTTCCAATACACCCCAGCAGAACGGGGTTACAGAGCGAAAAAATCAACACTTGTTGGAGGTTGTTCGTGTTTCATTGATAGAAGCGCATATGCCATTATCGTATTGGGGAAAAGCACTTACCTCCGCAACATATCTCATCAATCGAGTACTTTCTAGCTCTATTGCCTTTCGGACACCATTACAGGTTCTCACTGACGCAGTTGTTGCCCCAACCGTTGCAAATCTTCCTTCTCATGTCTTTGGTTGTGTAGCATTTGTACACCTCCATAAGCATTAACGCAACAGGCTAACTCCTCGCGCATTGCGATGTGTTTTTCTCGGATATGCTACTCATCAAAAGGGGTATCGCTATTATCACCCTCCCACTCGACGAATGTTTATCACAATGGATGTTGTCTTCCATAAAGACTCGATGTATTTTTCCTCTGCGTCTGAACTTCAGGGGGAGTACCAGAATGAAATTCAGACTCTAGATTATGATTATCACATTTTTTAGGACGGTGATTCTAGTGTTAATGACTCACAAGTTGGACCAACCAATCAGAAATCAGGTGAATTGGATTCGAGTGGTAGTGTTAATGACTCACAAGTTGGACCAACCAATTAGGAATCTGGCGAATTGGATTCGAGAGGTATAAGTTTGGATCAAAGTGGTGATAAACGCCCAGAAATGGACAGTATGGTGCCAACCCCATCGTTGTTCGAGTTTGAGTCCCTCGCAACTGATATATCAAACTAATCGCCTGCTGAGGATGTTCCTGATTTAGTGCGTGAGCCACTCAGAAAACAATTACCACCGCGTCACACCAGAGGAATTCCTAAACCCACATATGAACTCGAACTTTCTAGTAAAGTTAAGTATCCCATGGGCAATTATGTGTCGAACCATCGTTTATCAGAATCAAATTTGTCATTTGTAAATCAATTATCTATTATATCTATTCTTAACAGTGTGCAGAAAGCCTTAGCTGACCCTAAGCGGAAAGCAGCTTTGAACGAGGAGATGAAATCTTTGCAGAAAAATGAAACTTGGGAATTTATTGATCCTCCACCAGGAAAGAAACCGGTTGGATGTCGATGGATTTACACTGTGAAGTATAAAGCAGATGGCGCAGTTGAACGCTGTAAAGCAAGATTGGTGGCAAAAGGTTACACCCAAACCTATGGAATCGATTACACAGAGACGTTCGCACCTGTAGCCAAAATAAACACAGTTCGTGTCTTGTTGTCTTTAGCTGCAAACTTGGATTGGCCATTGCAATAATTCGATGTGAAGAATGCCTTTCTGCATGGTGAATTATCTGAAGAAGTCTACATGGATCTCCCACCAGGATGTATGATACCTGAAAAGTATAGTTGAAAGGTCTGCAGATTAAAGAAATCATTATATGGGTTGAAACAATCTTCAAGAGCATGGTTTGGAAGATTCACAAAGTCTATGATAGCATTTGGTTACTGTCAGAGCAATTCAGACCACACATTATTTCTGAAGAAACAACAAGGTAAGATCACTACACTCATTGTATATGTAGATGACATGGTGGTTACAGGGAATGATCCTGAAGAAATGAAAGCTCTTAAGAAGTACTTGTCCAGAGAATTCGAAATGAAAGATCTAGGTCCTTTAAGATATTTTCTTGGGATTGAAGTATCTCGATCTAATAAAAGAATATTTCTATCTCAAAGAAAATATGCCTTAGATTTATTACAAGAGACTGGCATGACATCATGTCAACTAGCTGCAACACCAGTGGAAGAAGGACTGAAGTTATGTGTTGAGTCCAACCAAGTACCTGCTAATAAAGGAAGATACCAAAGACTTGTAGGGAGATTGATGTACTTAGCACACACTAGACCGGATCTGGCTTATGCATTGAACATTGTTTGCCAGTTTATGCGTGATCCTGGAGAGCAACATATGAATGCTGTTATGTGCATTTTGAGGTATTTGAAATCTGTTCCTGGAAAAGAAATTTTGTTCACTAAAAATGCTGGTTATCAAAACATAGCTGCATATACTGATGCTGACTAGGCTGGAGTTATAAATGATAGGCGATCTACTTCTGGTTACTTTACTTTTGTAGGAGGAAATCTTGTTACTTGGAGAAGCAAGAAACAATATGTTGTTGCTCGCTCAAGTGCAGAAGCTGAATTCAGAGGTATGGCGCTTGCACTTTGTGAAATATTGTGGTTAAGACTTCTATTGCGGGATTTGGGTTATCTACCTGGGCAACCTATTCGACTATATTGTGATAATAAAGCAGCATGTGATATTACCCATAATCCAGTTCAATATGATCGTACGAAAGCATGTTGAAATAGACAGATTCTTCATTAAGGAGAAGTTGGATGGGAAAATTATGGAGTTGCCTAAGATTCGATTTGAGGATTAACTAGCCGACATTCTCACCAAAGTAGTCTCAAATCAAGTGTTTTCAAAATTTTTAGACAAGTTGGGTATGTGTGACATCTATGCACCAACTTGAAGGGGAGTGTTGAGATTTTATCTCTTATAGTACAGTTGTAGGATTGAATTATTTACTCCTTGATTTAGGGCTAATTTGTAGGTAATTAGTTACCTATTTTAACTAATCATATTCTATAAATTGGATGTAATACTCATCGAATAAATTATCGAATAGAGTTTTTAATGTTCATATTCTTTCTCTAAATTTCAAGATACGGGTTATAGGATAAGAATCATAAGATGGTACATGATTTGCTTTTGTCTTTTTTTAGAAACTGTTGTGAGTCACAATTATCCAAAAGAGATATTTATATATTTTGGGACAAAGGGAGTAACTCATAGACTGTGCGACGTGAAGTTTGATCCAAGATTCATTCACTTAAGTCAACTTTTCAACTTTTACAAAATTTTACACTACAAGAAGTATGTTACCTCCATCCTTAACTGAACTTCAAACGTATTCATCAAGCAACGGACATGGATCATCTCCAGTATTTTTTCTCTTCAATTAAACATTTACAATTCCATGTCTAACTATTAGGAAAACACCACGTTAAACATTTTTTTTATTGAATTAATCTATTTATAAAACTATAACACAGTGGATAGTTACATAAGTGATCTCATGGATCATCTCCAATATTTTTCTCTTCAATTAAACATTTTCAATTCCATATCCAAATGCTAGGAAAACACCACTTTTATTTATTTATTTTTTTATTGAATTAAGTTGTTTATAAAACCATAACATAGTGGATAGTTACACAAGTGATGACGTGAACATTTTTTTATATAAAATTGGAGAGAAAAATGATTGGAGATGGTCCAAATCTCTAAAGAAAATTAAGCTATTACAATGGATTTTCAACATGCATATTTTGATCCATCAAACAAAAAGGAGATCACTAAATCAATTTACCCTTTTTTGAGTAAGATTCCACAATAAATTTTCAAAAGCAATTTTGAGAAGTAATTTCACAATGATCAGCTACATTACTATACATGCCGTAGGCCCAGGCCTCTAACAGTCGAGCCACACAATTGTGTGAACAAGCCCAAATTGAATCCAAATAATCGCCATTTCAACCACTTTGAAGCCCAATATGGATCCATATGTGAGAAGAGGATAGCAAAGCTGGAGTTGTTTTGGTGAGGCAAAAATGGCTTCTCCTCCTTCTACGAAGTTGCTTCTACTAAGAAGACTGTTACGAGTCCTGAAGCCTCCTTCATCTTCTTCTTCCTCCTCTTCCTATTCGATTCGCAGATCATGCCTCTATTCCTCTATGAACCTTCCAGAAGCTTCGAATTCTGCAGATAGACCTCCGATCTCAACCTCTTCTAGAAGCTTCTGCTCTCGTCCTTCCAATCTCAACGGCGAATCTGAAGGCCCAGCGCCTATCGATTACCGGTGCGTATTATCTCTCTCTACTTCTAAATTCATTTTGTACTCTTACCGCCCGTTTGGTTGCTAAGAAAACTGAGGGGAAAAAGAAAAAAACGAAAAAAGAATGTTCGGAAAGTGATTAGTCAAGTGTTGTTTCGGTATCTGAATAGTTTTTGTGTTATGCTCAATCTTAGATTCGTATCTTTAGTTTCTATTATTTTCTTTCAATTTCTCAACAATAACCAGACTAGTTATTAAGAGTTAATCATTACTTATTAGAAAAGGAGTTTATGAATGACGTGAATTTCTTCCGGGATTTTGTTATTGAGTCCTCCTATGCAATGCATATAATTTTCTGTTGTATTAGTTGGTATTGCTTAACTAACCTATAATGTGATTGAATTCTGACACCATTTTCATTTTCCGCTTAAGGCGTACTGTTATTGTTGCAGTATCACTTCATGTAAGAAGAAGGGAAAACAACAATTAATTTAGACTAGTTCTGAATATCGAGGCATGACCCAAGTCTTCTGTTTGTCCCTCCCTGCACTTCCAGTCAATTCAAACACTCTAAAACAAACAATTAGGTAATGTACACGGATTTCAACTCATGTTGCTTTGGTAGCAGTAGCACCGAATCTGCAACTTGGATTTGGAATTGTAGGAAATTTGGTTCAAACTTTAAACTAATTTATTTCCATTTCCAATCCAAGCTTCTGATTCGGTGCTCCCAAACATAGCATGAGTGAAATTAAAGATTGGTGGATGCAATTGTCAGTCCTCAAGAATTGGCTTGTGTACAGTAGGATTTGTTGCTATTCTTGGATGTTCCTCTGGGAGTACATTAACACTCCAAAGCCTTTTGTCCCATTATTGTTGCAGAGCAGAAGATTTTTAAAGGGATTTGTAAAGAAAGTGAGAGAGATAAGTGGAAGCTGGAGGGTGGACAATGAGAGAGAAAAATGTGGACCCTCCGGTGCTTTGACATAAGTTAGAAAAAAATTCATTGTATGTTAGAAATAAGATGAATAATAAAATTTTCATTTTGTATGATATAATTTTTGAATAATGAATACTACTGACTGCTAACATATGTCTACTGAGCCTTAATTGTTAAAATTATCCTTCCCTTAATTTTTTGTAGAAGTTCAATAATCTCTCTCTCCAGCTAAAAGGAAGACTGTAGTTTTTAAAAGAGGTTTTTTATCAATGGGGTTTGACATATGTGGATATTTCCCTTTTATGATTTCTGACTTGGAAAGTTGTTAGTTGCACTTTTAGTTAATACTGATGGTAGTTAGTGTGATGTTCTTCACAAATTGTCAAACAATGTTTAGTTTGAATAAAATAAGTAAAATATATTTCTAGGTAATAACATTAAATTCATTAATTGATACTAAAACAATTAGAAACATTCAAACATGACATTCTGGGATCGAAGTATGTGCATCATTGTTTTTCATGTTGTTTGCTAGAGATTAAAAATATTTCAAGGTTTTCGGTACTGATTCTCATTGCACCTTGACTGATAGTCCAGGACCATCACCTGCGACTGTTATAGTTATATTACCTGATTCCACAAATTTGAAACGGTGCTTGAATTTGAGCCTTTTGCAATCTATGAAGAAAATCACATTTATAAGGATATATATATATGTGTGTGTGTGTGTGTGTGTAGACATTTTTGGTTCTTTTATTCCTCTCAATATGCATATGTTTTATCAGTAAGATCCAAGATTTATTCGATAAAGTAATTTGTATAAAGTTCAATAAAATAGGAATACATGAGTTTGGAAATTTTAATAATGATGTGTGTTTCAAAAGATGAACTTCAAAACATCATTGGAGTGTGTTTAAATTTTCAGCTTTTTTATCCATGAGTGTTTCAAATATATTTTTAAATCGTCATTAGAGGCTTCAATACTTTATTGTCCTGAGTTGTAGTCCGTCATTTCCATAGTTGGTATAAATCTTAGGTGAGTTCAGTTGAAAATTTAAAATTCTTTGGGGCTTTGAGTATTAGTTATGAGAGTTTTGTTACTACATATGTTCTGTTATTAGTTTGTACGTAATGGGCTACAGTGAATTTGCTAATAATTAATATTTAAACAGATTTGTACTGCAGGAGGATGAATTTCACAGGCTGGCTGATTCCACAATACAAGATCTACTAGAGAAGTTAGAGGTAATATATTGATGCTCTCTCTGGAATTGTTAATGCGATTATTCTTACTGGTGAGGATTGGTGGTTGTTCTTGATGTTGATGGCAAGATTTGGTTTAATGATTTGTTTATGACATGAAAGTTAGCATCGGTGGTTAGAGCAATCATGCTGTGATCCCTGACATCAATTACTGACAGGCTTTTGAGACTCTTTCTATTTGTCAGTTTAAGGTCCTATAATGATGTATACAAAATAAAATATCTGAAGCAGATTATTATGATATATAGTTCTTACTTCTTAGTTTTGCAACCTTGATGACCTTATACTGTAGATGCAATAGGTATTAGCCCTCATTATGCAAGTTCTCCTTACCTCATTGTTTGTCCTCCCTCCTCTAGTTTTCACACCTGATCCAGGAAATGTTGTTACCCTCACTATCCAGTCTCCCCTAAAATTATCTGTTAAAATGAATTAAATTAATACTTTATTTTTATATTCCAAAATCAAAATTGGGTTGACGTATATCTTTTGAAGATTTCAGGTCGCAGATAAATTGACAAACTGATGTTTTGGCCATTTTGCATAATACATTTTGAAATGTGTAATCTATTTCCTATAGTAATTGACAGTCAGTATTACTCCGTTTTCAATTATCCTACTTTTCTTTGTGACCTGGCAGGAATATGGTGACTATATCGAGATTGATGGTTTTGACATAGACTATGGGGTGAGAATGATGGATTTCTGTTTAAGAGTGATGATTTCTTTTGATGTATGGCATTTCTTACAAGAAAACTGTGTTGTGCATTTGGCAGAACCAGGTATTAACCCTGAAGCTTGGGAGTTTGGGCACCTATGTGTTGAACAAACAAACACCAAATAGACAAATTTGGCTGTCTTCCCCTGTGAGGTGAAAAGCCCCCTTACATTTTGAGTTGTGGACTTTTGCCTGAGTATATTTGTTAAATGATATCTTTATGACTGTGTCATATAATGACTATCTTGGTTGTTCCCTAGAATTTTGCTTTCCACCTTGTTCTGGTTCTTTTTTTATTAATTACATATGAATTACATCACCGTCATCACTACTTTAGCATTGTAATAACCCAATATGCATTATAAAATAGTAACACTGATGTGAGATAGGTTTTGACTGGCATTAATATACTTTAACAAAAAAACAAATGTACATGGTAACAATTTGGTTGGCAAAGGTTGAAACTTTTGGACCAAACCAAAAATAAATAAAAAATGGCATGTATTGGAGAAAAGACATTGTAGGGAGGTATCTAGAATGGAACTGAAGTTGGGTAATGTAGGACTTATTTATTGGCAGTTAAAGAGTTCCGCATGTCGAAATGGATGGAGGGATGAGTTTTAAGTATTAAAGGTTCTATTCAGTTCTCTTTTTATTATTTGTTCTCTTTTTAGTTGGGGTATGGGGAGAGATTATACATCTGTTGATGAGATGATGGACTTTATGGGGTCTTTGGGTCCATAGGTCGTCCCCTTTTCCATTTTGTTTTCTGCCTTTTCGGTTCTTGTACAGCTCTTGGGATGCGTTCCCCTTTTGAACACTTTCTAATACATCTTACTTATTAAAAATAAAAAAAATAAAAAAAAAAGGTTCTATTCAGGTTCAACTTTTTTTTTTTGTGATAAGTTCTATTCAGGTTCAACATTCTTGTATGCTAAAATCCATCAAAGCTCACACAAAAGCATGGAAAGACCAAGAAAAATATAAAAGACACTTTGGAATAATTACTTGTGTAAACAAGTAAAATGCTACAACTTCTCTACATGCATTACTTCGCCAACCTATGGTAACATTTATATTAGATATATTAAAAGGTAATGTATGAAAACTTTTCTTGATTCATAATTTTGTAATGGTTTACGCCTTGTGCTCTCTCTTGGTTCATAAATTTCTGTCATATCCTTGTCTTTGTACTGCTTAGTACCTTCTACACTGTACACTTCTATGCATTGGCCATTTCATTGTATTTTCCTCCTTTTTTCAAAATTGAAAAGTATGTAGTGTTGTTTAATGCCTATGAAGGGGAGTCCGTTTTCTTAATTAGTAGAGCATTGTTATTAAGTAAAATTATGTATTACAAAAGATAACTGTGAATCTACGGTGTGCTAGTGAAAAAAATTAGAGATTGAATGTGTTTGCAAATACAATAAGAAGAAAAAAACAAAAAGAAAACTGCTAGGCTAAATCCCTAAATCGTTTTAAAATGTTTGATGTTTTAGTTTAAATTTGTGAAAAGAACCTAGGCTACCCTTTTTAGTACCATGAATATGTAGGTTGGAAGGGGAGCTTGTGTTACGGATCATATAGTCATTTTCATGTTAACAGACTTACTTTTCCAAATATTAGTGGCTGAAACATGTAGTGCATCTCAATCAATGACTTTGGGCTTCTGTAATCAACACCAATGCAATTAGAGTGATAATGAACTTCTTGTTTTATTAACTTGTTAACCTGAGATTAGAACCTGGGTTAATATCAGCAAAGCCTAAAGGATATAATGACTGCCCCTCAAGATCGTAGACACTACTAAAATTTCCAAGTGGTAATCAGACATGCATAGAATATATGTTGGAAGTGCATATTATGAGAGAAGTTTGATTCTTATCTTGTAAATGACTCCACTTTGGTATGTCTTATAATTACCTGGACATATGATGAGCCCACGGATTCTTCAAAATCATGATTATGGAGTAGGATTTCGTACTTTCTAGTTTCTATACTGAGTTTTTCTTCTGTATATTCCCTGGTGAAGCAATCCTTGTTGATTGGCTATGAATGTGGGGTCTAGTGCTTTTCTGTGGAGGCTGAGACCAACAGCTTTCTTTCTTTCTTTGTTTTGTGGTAGATTGTTGGAGTATGAGGTTTGCATCTTTTAAATTTGTGTTTTTGAAATATTCAACAGGCATTGTTTTCATATGATTGGCACCTGTTTAGATCACGTTAGCACAATTGTTAATAGCCCGGTGCAGTATGATATTTTTTTATTTTTTTGGTTCTTTTTTTTCCCTAAGGAGCAAAAAATGAGTTTAAAACTTCTTTATTCCATGAGCACTTTATGCTTTGTACTGAAACGAGTCACGAGGCGCACAGAAGGATGTCTGTGGTTCCTTGATAACTTCTGTTGAAGGTAGGAATTATAATTATGAGAAATAAAACATGACTATGCAGAGTCCCCAAAATTACTGTGGGATAATATATATAAATTTATATAGGCATATGTGTTTATAATGATATCTAAACTAATATGTACAAACATAAAAAAATAACTCTTGTTAAACTTCGTTGAAGGAATAGTATTAAGAATTTCCAATCAGAGATGCTGTTTTGGTGTTAGCAAACTGTTGAGCTGTGACAACAAAATAGTATGACCTAAGGTAAATAATGTACAGAATTGCCAGAGACCAATTTTGATTGGTTGTTGAACGATTTCAATTAAGCAAAGTTTTATTTCAATTATCTGAGGTTGAACTAGCATGGTTGAAGAATAAGACTGTTCTTTTTGCTTTTTTATTAAACCTACAAAAGCCTGTTCTTGAGCAGTTGTAATGCGGATGTATTTGAGGTAGAAAATTATAGACATGGATTCACATATGATCCTGTGTAATGTGAATCTTGATCAAACAAGTGCTTCGGTACTAGTCTACTAGATGTTCTTTGTGCTTTTTGTTGTGTCTCAGTGAAGGCTATTTGCATCTCTTTACCACCCCTTGTTTAATAATATAAAAATATTTGGCGATGACTAATGAGACTTTTGTGCTCTTATTCCTTTCTGAGACAATGTCTGAAGTTTTTATTTTTTCATCGTGTAGTGGTCCAGCTAGGTTTGATTGGGATGGAGATGCTCAAGCTTGGGTCTACAGGCGGAAACATGCAAATTTATCCGAACTTTTAGAAATCGAGTTGGAGCAACTATGTGGCGAACCCATCAGTCTTTCTTGAACCATTATGGGTGTGGTGTAACATGCTGTGGAGTGTCTTCATGAGTTCATGTTGATCATCATTAGCTTCGCATGTTTTTCTTCTTCACTGGGTTGCTTTTTTAACTTGCCCTTGTTCTGATTTTAAATGGAAACTTCATGGTTGTACTGATTTTGGGAGTTCCTGTTCACATTGGTGCTTATATGGTCTTTCTGGTAATGGAGTCCAAGCTTCCAACCTAAATATGCACACGTGCGATGGATCTTCGTAGCTGTCCAATGATGTTGTTACAGCACGATTCGAAATGTCACAATTACAACCACTAAAATATGGACACGGTGAATGGCTTTGTGTCGCTTTCAGGCATAATGAGATGACGCCGAGGGTGAGAATCCAAAGATGAACCGAAAGACAGCCCAAATAATATCTTCACGATGGTTAAGAATGACACAACACCAGCCACATACTCAATTCCTTTCCTCTCATAACATCGACAACTTTCCACCACAAGAAGTTAGTCTATGATTCCATTCCCTTCTCACCCAAAGCAATTATTTATTATTTCAACGTATGGTCCCTGATAAATTCTATCCCATAAACAACCCCACACTCAATTTATTATTGAAATAAGCAATTGAAACTAAATGATACAGTTGGAAGACCAATGAGCATTTGGGGATGATGATCGATGAGAAAGTCCCTCAACCACAACCTTCAAAGTCGTTTTAAGCTATGTATGCATTATTTTATATTTTCTGGTTAAGAATACAATAATTTCTACTGTTTCTTGTTTCAATAAAGTTGAAATCGCTGCTACCCCATTCGATGTGATGCCGGCCACATAATGTGGCTTAATTTCATTCAAAATATATGACAAGATTGAAGTTAAATTTGGTTTATAATAGTACTTATAGTGATAAAGAGAATCATCTACCTACTGGATATATAGTCACTAGATATTATTTACTCAGGAAAGTGAAATAAAAAAAAATTCAGTACTGAATGAAATGATATGAGTCTGAAATTCCACAATATAGGTCAAGGTGAGAGAAGAAAAGAAAACTATAAATTTCTCCCATACCTATGATAATAAAATAACACCCAACCGAGAAAAAATAAATAAATAAATAAAGACACGACAAACAGACCCATCAATTTCCGGAACGAAGTCAACCAACATTGGCGCCATCCCCCGGAACAGGAGAGGAAATTATGTAGTGTTTGGCTGTAGGCCAAAGTTAGCCTATTATTATTATTATTGTTCCTTAATAGGTTAGCCTATTATTTAAAGCTGCAGCCACGTTGGGAATATATATATATATAAAATAAAATAAAATCATTTGAAGCTGCAACCAGAGCCACCCATGAAGTCAATATTTGATAGGTTTCTTGTGATTTGTGTGGTAAACTATATCACTATGCACACAGGGAGGGAGAGAGTAGGGTAAAAGTAAAAGAATATTATGAGGCAGAAAAAGCATTAAAAAAAAAGCATCGCACACTTGGTTTGTATGCGAGGAAACACAAAAGCAGGCTGAAGAAACAAGTGATTTTGAAAGGAAGAATGGAATTGATGGGGCTTTCTTGCTTGCAGGTTCATGCATTTGTTTGTGAGGCTATGTAGAGTGACACGCCACAACCTGCTTAGCTAAAGTTGGAAACACACAGTCACACACTACATTAAAGCTCCACCACATTCTTCTCTTCTCCTCTCTTCGATCTAACCCCCGCACGGTGGTCCCACCTCCTCATATTCATTCATATTATGACCGCTTATGTTTACCCCCAACTTCCCACAAACCACCATTTTCTGTAATTGGTGGTGATCAAGAAACACCCTTACAACTTAGAAGGTTGCTTTGATAGTGTTTAGTGGCTTTTAATTATCAAATTAGTAAATATAATATGTATCTATATATTTAAAGTAATTACCAAAAAACATATAAGAATCTTATCATGTGTTGGAAGAGATGATGAGACTAAAAGTTGGATTGCTTAGGATGCCTTTGTTTGTGGAAATGCCAGTTTCTAATTCTATCTTGTATATGTCCCCACCCTTTTTATGGATTAGGATTGCATAAAATATATCTATGATGTTAATCTATAGTATAGTCTTTAATTAATTAATTTCAGTCTATCCATTAGAGAAAACAAAGAAAGATAACGAGTGACATTTTCTAACATTCCTAGATACAGTTTTGTTTGTATGAACTATTTTTTGGTTTGTTTTATTGTCTACACACTTTCTACCAAACTGACAAGTGTTCAATCATAATTTATATTTCTAGCAAAAGAAAATTTAACAAACACAACACCAAGTGCCCAAAATTATACAAAAACCCCAACACGGTAATTGATGACTTTTGTGATCTAATTCCAAATGAGAGAGATCAAATGAAATCTCTGTTTTAAAAATACATATATATGTGTACATATGAAGTTAAAGACACAATGGTTAAGCTAAATTAATCGATATCGTTGCTTTGTTTGTTAGCAAGCTAATAGAAGGTTAATTATGGATTAAACTACATCTGATCGGACGTTACGAAGACTCGGAATAATCGAAATCAACGGCTCTCGGACTCTTGCTAAGTTCACAGATACCAGCAATCGCAGCAGCGGGCACTTTGTCGCTGGAAGTCGCGTCTTGTTGACCGAATTTCTTGAGCGACTCCACGATCGCCGCCGTCGAACCCACCGATGCCTGCCCAACACGCCCCGACTCATTTTGCTCAATTCTTCGGCTTTTCATTGGCCTCGTTGTTTCGGCAAAAGCAGCCGCTCCTTCTCCTCCGGACACAGCTGCCTCCACCGCCGCCTCCGACGACGGACTATTACGTCGAGAAGATGAGCTGCCTTCATCATCGTCCTACAATAACACAAAATCGTCACCGTTAAGTCTCCAATGTGTTGTAGATTAAGATTAAAAAAAAGAAGAGACAGATTAAATCGTAATAATTGCGCATTTCAAGGCTTAAAATGCGATCGTTGAAACGGCTATGACTGAATGTAGAAAACGAAGAATTACAAGTCAAAATTCAAACATGTTTCAAATAAACCTAATTAAGCAGTTAGATCTGTTCGTACTACAGAAAAATGTCAAATCAAAGCAGAAAATGCAAGAGATTGAGAGAAAATTCTTACATTGGAGTGAAGATCTGAATCATTCTCGCGCATTCGTTTCGAAGAAACATCTCGATCGCCATTATTGAACCTGCAAGAGGACTCTTCGCTGCTCGAGCAACTCGCAGCCGGAGGCTGCATCGTAGACGACCACGGCACAACCTGATTCTCTCCGTCTTCCTCATCATCATCATCATCTTCTTCATCTTCATCTTCATCTTCGTATTCGTCTTCGGTATCAGTTTCATCAACATTATCTCCTTCGCTCTCTTCTTCCTCTCTCCTTCCTCCTCCATCAGCACAAGTCTCGCACACCGATATTGTTTTCCCGAGCTTGGAACCACACGCGGTCCAGGCGGTCGGAGATTGACAGACGTGGCAGAGAAGGCTCCTGGAATGCCTCGCCACCAGGAAGTTGGCGAAGTGAACCTTGGCGTCACAGTCCCAACACAAACTCGCCTGATCGGACTCGCAGTACAATCTCGCCGGAAACTTGCAGAGTTCACAGCTCTTCTTCATTTCTATTTCAAAGTCCCAATTTCCTTTCCCTTTGCTTTTCCTTTCTCTCTGAACGAGGAGAAGACGTAATTGAGAAAGGGCAACTTGCAATAGAATACGAAACCACCCTGCTTTGTCTAAAAACTACGAAATTACCTTCTACTATGGTACGGTTCTAAAGGGGTAGATTTGTCATTATATTGATTTATACGAATTGTCCAGACCTGGGGCTTTGTGTCCAAAGCAAGGTCCTAGCCTGTCGAATTTATTGCCAGGTGTTGGTTCGACAGGGAACAAGGGGTTGTGTGGTGTAGGTTCGTCGTCGGGGGATTTTGTTTCCTTGGTTCGTGCAGGATATTTTCTATGGATACGATTCGTGACCTGTCGTCCACATGGCGGTTAGATTCTGATTCGCTTATGTGGCGTGATATGGTTGATCAAGCCACGTGATTGCAACTGATCTGGCGAGAGTGGACGCGCAAAGTGGGGCCTCCGTGATTTTGGTGATGCCCAAGCGAACCGGAACCACCAGTTTTAAGGCCACTGAAAACCGTAAAAGATCCGGGTCCAAGTGTTGCTTGTTATTATTAAAAGTATAACATGTTTTATTTTGTTTTATTATTGTTTCTTTGCCGTAACTCAATTAGCCAGTGATTCTAAGTTCTAACAAGAAACAACTACTTTCAACTTTTGATACAATGATTTTTAATTCCGAAATACTTAAACTTATATCTATATAATAATTTTAATTATCTTTCACATTCCAAGTGAATATATATATATATATATCCTAATTTCATTTTGTTTTGGTTGGCTTTTTAAGAAAAAGATTATACTTGAGTTCGGCTTCGAAGAAAATTATCTCTAGTTGGATCCGTCAAATTTGTGATGTATTTTATAAAAATGTTGGGATATTTGCTATACATTTCAACTTTTTTATAATGTGAATCCCAAACTAGATTGGACATAAATTACTATTCCACCGAAAAAAATATTTGTTCGTGTTGACCTCTAATTATTAGATGAAGATTTGTGTTTACAAGTTTGTAACATGAAAATACAATGCTGATATGAGGTGTCTTGAGTTATCCTTTGAAGTTACTATATTTTGAATAGAAAAATAAACACAAATTACATCGTCATATAGCTAATATTAAAATGATTTCACAGAAAAAGAAAAAATAAAAATGAGAACAAAATAGTATAAAATAAAATTATATGAGATGGTTAAATATGATTGTTTAATTCGATAAAAAAAAGTAAATCTAAAATTTTGATTGATTTGTATAATTTATTGTAAATAAATTTTGATACAATATTTTTAAAGCAAAATTGTACCAATATTTTTACAGTCTCAATATTTATAAATAATCACGACAAAAACACAAGCACAACTTATAACAAATCTCATCTCATACAAAAAGTAATATATACTTATAAGGGAAATACTTATGTAACACTCACATATTATTGACCTTATTAGGAAAGGAAAGACGAGTTAATTTAGTCTTAATGTCCATGGCATCATTTATCAGACATTTAGTTATTTTGACTCTGGACAAACAAAGTTTGACCGCTTCCACCAATGGTGTTAAATTAGTCCGTGGGTCCTAGGTCCGGCCTAAATTTCTTTGGACAGACTCCAGACACGGCCCAATAAAGAAGGAGGCAGCGTATGAATCACCCTGGACCAGGTCTGGGCCTTGCCCTCGGATTCATGGCTTGTTTCTCAGCATGAACAACGATAAGGCCGAACTTTAGGCCTCCATATGGGCCCATCCAAAGGCCTCCATATGTCCGCCGGTAGTTGTGGGTTTAGGGGTACACCTTTTGCTGCTCAAACTGTAACAGGAAATGCTATTCAGTCGTGAATCAAGGTTTGAAGTTCAGGTACGCCTGAATGAAGAAGAAATTATTGGCTTTGAAACTGGATATGCCAAAAGGTATTTATGGCACACAAGCGCGTATCCATCCAAAGAAGTTCTGAAATCTAAAAAAACCAACAGAAATAAGAAAATAAAGAGAAGCAACAATCATCATCATAGCTTACCCATTCAACAAAAAAAAAAAAAAAAAAAAAAATCATCATCATCATAATTTTTTATTATTTTATTATTTATTTTTCAGCAACAATCTTATGACCACACTTACCCAAAGGAAAAAAAAAAATGCGTGGCTGAGGTTTCCCAAAAGTTTCATATACGTGTTAAAAAATATATTAAAAAAATTACTTTCAAATTTTGAACGTTTAAGAAATATAAGATGCAAGCATTTAAAAACTACACATAAACATGATATAGATATGTTCTTTGCGAGATTATTTGTGATTCATGATTTTTTTTCATATTTTGTTTGTGTGTGTATATATATAGTAGGATATTCTGCATAGTTGCAAGGCGAAATATAACACGAAGAACAATTCTATCAAATGTGAAGTGATCTTTACCTTTTTCATAAACACGATAATCCTCGTCATTTGCGATGAATTGCAAAAATGTTAATGTGAGTGTTTGGCCTGTAAAAATGGTTAGTTCCGATGGAACCGGATGGCCGTGCCTGGAACTGTTATAGTTCTAAAGAGAGATTCAAATAATATTCCAAAAGAAAGATTGCAAGACCAGGCGATTGCGATGAGATCTGAAATGAACACCTCAGGGTTCTTTTTGTCTTTGAAAAATGACTTCAGGACTGCTATTTGGCTAGTAAGGAAAGAACTACTTCTGCAAGTAATTGACTGAAATGTAAAATTATCTAGTGTAAAGTAAAGAATGGGGCTTAGGCTAAACATGTTGAAAGTACATTGTAATAAAAAGAGAATTTGTATTGAAAATTATGTTGTAATTTGTGTTGTGTGTTGAACAGGCCTTCTAAGTAACAATAGCATGCCTTATTTATAGAATTTAGTAATGGTAACTTGCATGTAAGTGCTCGCTTCCTAAACTGCCATATGTTCCATGACTTTCCACTTGAATATAACCACTCGCTTCCTAGGCTACCAAGTGTCTCATGACTTTCCACTTGCATGTAACCGCTTGTTTCCTTAGCTACCACGTGTTCCATGACTTTCCACTTACATGTAACCGTTTGCTTCCTAAACTGCCACGTGTCCTATGATTTTCCACTTGCATATAACCGCTTGTTTCCTTAGCTGCCACGTGTGCATATCAGCCTTTCATTGGAATCGGCCACAACAACTTTTCATTGGAAAGTGACCGATGATTATGGTGCAAATGGTTATAGTTGTGGTCCTTTTATCAAGTCACATGTCCACCTTGAATTGATTTTTAGCCAAAGTATTTAAAAGATAGTGATTTCCACTTAAACGTTGTAATACCTTTTCATTAGAATTGACCTGGGCAATCATTCCACAGAAAGTGGCTGATAATCATGGTATAAAAGAATTGATATATAGCAAGTCTTATGTAAAAATTTGCCACGTGTCAACTCAGACTTTGACAATCTCATACCTTTGCTTCCATGTGTTATAAGTATGACTTTAGGAACCACAACCGTCCATCGAAATTTCCCAGAAGAAAGCAATCTTTCTTCAGAAAGTTCTACTTTGCAGAATATCTTGTCTCCAATCCATAGCCATACTTTTCTTGATGGAGTGTTCTATAATTTTTATTGAATGTCATGAGGTACACGGTGTGACATTCATCTTTTTCCTTTGAAAAAAGAAAATCCTTTTAAATGCTGTCAATATTCAAGGTTTTTTTTTTTTTTAATTCCCAATTTAATATGCTCTGAACTTCGAGTCTAAACAATGACTATAATATATGATAATGTCTAAGGCTAGGTATTTTTCTGATTTGTCCTTTGAACAACATACGACATATATTTTGGATGGGTCCTAAATAATAAAGATTAAAAGTAGGGTTTACCATTCTAGAATAGTCCGAATGTGGTACAGAACTTGCATCTAATATGTCATAACATATCTTAGCAATTTTATTTTTTATTTTTTTATAATTTAGATTATTCTTCAAAGGATTGTGCATATGCCATACCATCAAATATTCTTGCTTTTGTTTCAAAGACCAATTTGTATAATCAATAATACTTTCAACAAATCCCTCACCAAAAATTTAAAAAATAATTGCGATTAGTAAAAAATAATACTAATGATAAAAGGAAAAAAAATTATTAATGTGATTTTATTTTATTTTTGATGATAATCAAACTTATTAAAATATTTCATAATTTATTATTGGATATATGCAATCTTCAATTTTATGTGCATCAAACATTTACCCAAAAAACAAATTTTTTTTAAAAATTAAAAACAATTCAATTAGTCAAATTTACAACCAATTTCATCCAAAATTCACATAGAACTTCAATAACTATCACAGAGAATCCAACTTCTTGGTGAGTCTTCCCACCACAAATCCGAGACTAGAAGGACCACAAAACCAAGCCAACAACAACGTTTCATACTATGTGAATTGAGTTTACATTTTGAAACCAATTTGCCGGCTGCTTTATAGACAAAGTCAAAGGATTGAGAATATGATAAAAACCAAAATAAAATGACCAAAATACCCCTGACAGTGTGACAGGGCCGCTTCTACGAAACACACAGGCAATTGCAGTCTGTAAGAACCAAAGCCGACCGTCATTATCTGTCTGTACATGGGTTGTCGTCAATTTGAGCTCCCCTAACTCCTATCCCCTTATATTAATCTCTCCTGTACCTCCCCCAAGACCATCCCCACCACCATCTCTCTCTCTAAAAAGATTATAATCTCAAGAAATGGCAGGGAGAAAGGGTACCGCTGGTGAGTTTGAAGATTTGCTGCCGATGATGGCCGATAAGTTGGGGGGAGAGGGTCTGATAAGAGAGCTGTGTAATGGGTTTCGATTGTTGATGGACAGAGACAAAGGACTGATCACTTTTGAGAGCTTGAAGAAGAACTCTGCTCTTCTTGGGTTGCAGGATTTGGGAGACGAAGAGCTGATGAGCATGGTGAGGGAAGGCGATACGGACGGTGACGGGGCGCTCAATCAGATGGAGTTTTGTGTTCTGATGTTCAGATTGAGTCCTGATCTGATGAAGGAGTCTGAGGCTTGGCTTCAACATGCTATGCAACAGGAACTCCATAGTTCTTGGTGTGACGGGAAATCATAGTCACAATGGTCGCACTAACTGTTACTAAGAAGGAATAGGAACGTTGTTTTTGATTTGGAAATTGATTTTTATCTTTTTGCACGTTGTTCCTTCTTCAATTGATTTGTTTTTGTTTTGGAAAATAACATTTTGAGTTTTATTGGTTTTGTTCATGTTGAAACAGAGACGAGAATATATGGTCATGTACTGAAATAAAATAAGTGGGTTTTTTAATTTCTCTTCTTCTCTCTTTGGGTGTGTGATTGTGTATTGATTTGGTTATCTTTGAATCCTCTCCCCTAATGATTTCGTTGTGTCCTTGTGGTTGATTAAATTTCACTTATTAATATACAATAAACTTGTAAAATTTTACCATTATGGTGGTGAAACGCCAAAAATTGTTATTGGAGTGGAGTGTGAGAAAGAAAAGTAAAATTGGCTGATATAAACACAAAATGTAGAGAATAAATCTGAGACATTATTAATGAGTGTCCTGTAATTGCATACACCAAATGACAAACATCAACGTTAAAGGGTTGGATACCCTTTTGGGCTTTCAGCCGTTCAAATGGTCTCCAAAATCGTCATCATCCCCAAGGTTGAAAATTTAGTTTGATCAAACAAATTTTGGGTCAAAATTGAGCCATTAAACTTTTGAGACGGGTCCATGTTGAAAGTTGAAACACACTCCATGAACTCAGTGATATTTAGGATTAATTTTATTGACAACTCCTCAAATTTGATCAAATATCACATTAAAATACTTTTAAAAAATTACTATCACTCAAATTATAAAAACAAACTTACTTTTCAGAATTATCAGATTACTTTTTGAATATAAAATGATATTGTTACCCATTTGACTTTGTCAAAACCTCTTTTATCCTAAATAAAATTATTTAAAAGACAAAAATACCCATGACAAACTTTGCATTTTTCACTTATTTGCTTCTCTTTTTCTCTATTTTGGCTTCAATGTAATTTTTTTAATAATATTTTGCTCAGTATGATCAAAGTATGTCTGGGAAAACAATCATTTATGCAAATTTAGATATTGGGTTTGTTGTAGATTTCCCAAATTTTAAGAAAAATGTTTCCTTATTGTCCTATGTTTGTTTTTGTTTTTGCTTTTTTTTTTTTTAAGAGATCGATACAAAAGTTTTTAGAAATGTTTGTTTGGAAAGATTAAACTATAAGAACAATTAATTTAGAGATTAAGCAAATTAATTAATTCACACCAGGCATACTTGCTTCATTTTTATTTTTAATTTTTTGTACTATAATGATTTTTTAACATCTGGACATGCATAATGCATTATATTTATATTAACCAAAAAAATTATCAATTATAATGCGTGAAAACTCTTGATTCTTGAACTTCAATAACGTATTTCATTTGCTTTATATAGTATTACGATCAAACGATTAAAACACATTACAAAAGCATACACCTAAATCACTACAAAAATAATACTTTTTTTTAAGCCACTTCAAAATTCAAACTGAATTGATGATATATATATATATATATATATATATATATATATATATATATATATATATATATTTGATAAATGAATTTTATTAAAGAGCACAATAAATCTGATGATAGAAAATTGGAGTAATTTATGCTTGTTTGTGTATATATTTATATAAAGGGTATATTTCTTTCATTTATTTGTGTGACTCTTTTTTTTATTATGAATTTCATTTGAAACAGATTATTGATAATGTTTTAAACTAGCAATGGTGGTGAGGTGGTGGGAGGTGGCCCAAGTATGAAGATAAAGAGAAAGTATGAGTGAGAGTGAGGGAGTTGTTGGATAATTAATTATTGGGGGTAATTTTGTCTTTTACAATTATGATATTTTAACATAATAGACTAAATGAGGGTAAAAATGTTATTATACATGGTGTCAATGATGGAAAAGTGACTTAGAGTGTAAGTAATAATAATTTTTAAAAGGTATATTTCATATGTGACCAAATCTAAATAGGTGTCAATGAAATTATCTTTTATATTTATTTGTTCAAAACCCTTTATAAAGGGTTGAGAAATTGAATCCAAATTAAAAAATTAATTTTGCTGGGGCTTGAGCTTTCAAAACCCAAATAGGTTCAGGTCAACAAAAGGCTCGAACAAGTATGGAAGGAAGTGGTGCAAGTAATGACTGTTTCCTATTTGTCATTTCACAAACTTCTTTCTAAGAAATTGTTTACGTTTAATAGAAGTTGAACTTTAAACCTATGTTCAGATGGAGTCCTGATTTAATGGAGTCTGAGGCTTGGCTTCAACATGCTCAACAACAGAAACTCCTTAGTTCTTGGTTTGATGGGATATCATAGTCACAATGGTCACACTAAACGTTGTTTTTTATTTGGGAATTAATTTTATCTTTTTGCACGTTGTTCCTTCTTCAATTGATTTGTTTTTATTTTGGAAAATAACATTTTGAGTTTTATTGGTATTGTTCATGTTGAAACAAAGACGAGAATATATTATATATTGTTGAAGATGGATTCTGCGCAACCCGGATCTGATCTGACTTCCTGAATAAAGAGAAGAAAAAGTGATCCTACAAACACCGGTGTGTTACCGGTGGAGTAGGCTCCGACGAACAAGTCAATGTGAATGATAATCTCTCTGGAGAAATCGAGATATTGAGTTAGGATTTTTTTGCCTACCTCCAAACGTCGATTAGCCCTCCCTATTTATAGGACTTGGGTCAGGATGTTACGTAGCGTCCACGTCGTCCTTAATCCTTATCATAATCTGTTAGCCTAATCCTTATCGTATTCTGCAATTCTTATCGTAATCTGTAACCCTTATCTTAGTCGTAGTCCTTATCTTAGTCTGTAGAGCCTATCTCAATCTTATGAGATAGCGCGTTACTTTAACGATCTTCCCCTATCCACGGGTAATTAAATTATAATCATCAGTTGCCCCCCTTTTCGGAAGATTGCTTGTCAAACCACCGGAACGTTAATTCCCAAATATGACATAATAACAAATAGCTGGAATTGTAGAACCGTTCACCCTGTATTTCTACAATAAGTTGGCTTGATTATGAAATAGTAGAGCCTTATCCATTAACTTGACTTAGTTTGCCACTTCGCGGATACAGTCGGGGGTCGAGCTGCCCGGTCAGCTCGCGGGGGGTCCAGGGGGCAGCGCCCCCAGGAAAAATTTTTTGTTTTCCTATTTTTTTTTAGAGGGCCGTAGTTGCCTTTGAAATATTTGTCGCAGTGCCTCATTGGCAGGACCGTAGTGCCACATTGACAGTTTGTATATATGGCAGGCTGCCATGCTGGCAGCCTACCTTTTGGCACATAGGTAACTCATGCAGGGCTGCGAGTGTGGTTGTCCTATTCGAACTCCAAATCCTATTCTACCTTGTAAAAGTAAAATAGCCCGCAAAATAGCCCGCTGAGAGCTGTTTGTCCCTCATGAAACAGATTTCTATTAGAATTCCACCAGAAATACTTTCCTTATCTGTTTACGTTCTTCTGCTATAAACCGAGATAGTTCGAGTAAAATTCATTCAAATTACTTTCATCATCCAGAAAGCCAGGTAGTGCCAGTCGTAGTGATGTGGTAAATTCCATGCCCTTGTTTTCTTCTTGCTTCTATTTAATTCGTTGTTGCTTTTTCCTCCAACTCAGTATACCAAGACCAAAGTTAGAAAATTTTATAAGTCACTGTGAAGTTAGGCTCTTGCATACAGTAGCGTGTGTTACTACCAGCATGTTTTACCCAGAATCTAACACTATGTCAGACGAGGAACACCGCCAGTCTGATTCGGCTCCGTCAGAGACACATCTGGTACAGGATATAACAGGCTCCCTTACCTCACAGGATCTGGATCGGATCAGGCAAACTTATTCAATTCCAGACAGTGTTGCTTTCAGACTTCCTTCACTTGATGATAGAGCGTCCTCCTTTTACCCAACTGAGATTTGTTTCTATGAGTCTGCTTTTATTGCCGGATTGCGTTTTCCAATCCCTCTTTTTATTAGGGAACTGTTGCGTCACCTTAATCTTGCTCCGACTCAACTCTCCCCGAATGCCTGGAAAACAATGATGGGTTGTTTAGTTCTGTGGCGAGCTTGTTGTAATACCTCGCTCACTATCCAAGAGTTTCTTCATTGCTACATTCCCAAAAGGGGTGACTGGCTGTACTTCTCCCCACGGGACAGAATTCTTATCTCTGAAATTCCCCTTAAGCACAAACCATGGAAAAGCAGTTTCTTTTTCGTTTCTGGTGATGGCAGGGAGTTCTTTCCTGAAGAAAGTGCTTTCCTACGAATAGGGACTTCCATTCCTCGTGCGTGGTGTAATCAGAATTCCACCGGTGAGTTGTCCATAATGATACCCTCTTATGTTTTAAAACTCAAAGTAAATTTTGTTTGAGTTATTAACAGAGTTGTTGTTCTATTAGGCGTTAAAGAGATTGTCGTTTCATTTGATGATCTCCAGTGAATAAAGGAAGCCTTTAACTACCCAGTGAGGGACTGGTTTTCACTCGTGACACCTCAGACTTTGTTTACCCATGGGATTGGTCCTCAGCCAGTTGGCAAGTCCTCTGTAACTATATCCCGAAAACTTAATAAGAGGCTTCTAGCTCAGTTCAAAGAAGGCTCAAGTGACTTCCCAACTACTTTCCCCGCCAAGAGGAAAAAAAAGAAGCCTATTATTACAGCACAAAGGGTCTTACCTGTTTCAGTTGTTTCTCCACACGAATCCGACTCGCAATTCCCTCATCAGCTTGTGGATGGGACTATGCCACTCCTTACTGAAGTAGCGGTACTCCCCTCAGATCCCTATTCTTCAGCAGCATCTGTTCTAGGCAATGCTCAACTTGTTTTTAAGAAGATAAGCGAGTCTTTGTCGAAGGAGGATATGATGTATCTGAATTCACGCCCACCAACTGAGATTGTAGACTGACTCATGCATGATCTCGCACGGGTTAACTCTCGCACCATCCTCTGTTTTTATTTAGCTTTTCTTTTCCTCTTCATTGTAACTTTTTATTCCCACGTGCGTACAGGTGAATACACACGCGTATTACTTGTCGTGTCTAGCTGTAAAAGGAAGAGAGCATTACACCAATATGTTGGCTTCTACTCGCTCCCAACACCAAGCTGATTTACAAGTGGAACGTGATAAACATGAGGTCGCTCTACAAGCAATGCGTGCTGAGTTAGAAACAGAACGAGCTTGTCATGCATCTTATGTGCAAAAACTC